CTCCCTTGCAAATGTTTGCCTGTTCAGAAGGAAATTGAGTCACCTCTGAGTTGTGATTTGGAGATTTTTCTCATAATTCTCTGCCAAATGAGAGGTAACTTCACTTCCAACCCAGCTGATCAGGACTGTTTGTGGAGGCAATGAGCCTGTTGACAGATGTTTTGCATCCAGCTGACCTGTTTTCCATCCTGAAGGTCGCTCTGGATTGCATAAAATCCTGTTCAGGTGGGAGCAATTCCTCCCTTTCTGTCCAGCCTGTAGGTGCTGAGTATCCAGATGAGCTTTCAGCATCCTGTGTCCCTTTCTGCCCTTGCAGTTGTTATGGGTCTGCGGGTTTGTGTCCCACATTTTGCCTCCCCACATAATTCCTGGGATAGCAGTACTGCCAGCTCTGGCTTTTGCCCTACGTTGCTCCCTTTTTTCCATTCCTAATTGACAAAGTGCTGTTGCTGTGACATCCCAAGGACTTAGAGAGCAGGAAAAAATGGTTTTGTACTGAGATTCTGTAGGTGAAAATACACAAACTTGCTTGAGACAGAATATTCTGCTGGCATCTTAGCATAATAGAAAATACTGGGTATGTTTTCCTTGTCTTCCTTAGCCTTATCCATGAGAGAACCTTGAGATACAGAGCAATAACACACATAAAAAATTGCACCCTTCAAAGCCACCCAGCCTTTCCTCCCTATTCCTTACTATTTATAATATTTATGTTAGTTTTCCTTGACTCCTTTAAAGTCTGATCCCTTTAAAGTTTGATCTCTCCTTCTAAAGTCACATCAGACTTTCCTACATCCTTTTCTCCTCACTCTCCTCAAAAAAACTTTGCTTTTTCTTGTCTATCTGGGCTCTTTTCTCTTTCTGCCTTCTACTTCAACAACTATTCAGACTGTCTCAGATCATCGAGATCTTTGTTGCATCTGAACAGAAATTGGGGTTTGGCTTTGACAGGTGTCTTTTTAGCTCAGCACTGACATCTTTTCTTAGGCAGCAACTTCCTGCAGGATCTATTTGAGACGTTTCTGAGTGCATAAATTACATTGGCATGTACAAATCAGCGCAGCAAAAATGTTAATTACTGCCACTTTTCCCTTGCTGAGCCTCCCCTTAACGGTTTGAGCAACTTTTGTCTGCTCTGCTCTTTTATTTTTTTGTCCCTCCAGATAAAGTATCAAATGGCTTTAACACTTGGTGGTGGTGCAGAGAGAGCAAGGAGAGCTTGTTTTTCGTGTTGTGCTTCATGCAGATTGTTTCTCTGAAGGCGTGTGAAGGAACCTGACCAAGAACGCAGGAGATCTGTAAGTCTATAAATTGCTGCTGTGTTTAAATATGTTTTTGCCAAAAACTTTATTCGTGCCATTCCATGTGGGACATGGCACGAGTGTGGTGGCATCAGCAGGAGTGGCGTGGATGTTTGTGGCCTGGCAGAGGGTCTGTGAGGTGCCACGTGCTGCAGGACGTAGGAGACGATGACGTTTGGCATCATTTCCCATCATCAGTGTTTGACATCAGCAGCAGCTCTGCCCCGTGCTGGGAGTGGGATAAGGAAACTCAAGCTGTCTCTGCCCACACCATCTCTGTGTCTGTTGTAAGCAAGAAAAGGAATATATATAATTAGAGAGGATGATTTAGATTTTCAGATCCTGAGGATGGTGACTATGACACAGTGACAGTTCCTGGATGAGGTGGGATCAAAAACGTGACTTTAGAGCTGATTTCTCCTCCTGGCATGGGAGGATCCAGCTGCAGCTCCATCCCCTTTGCTGTGATAGTGACATGCACAGCCCTCATGATGCTGAAGTGCTTTGAAATCAGGTGGAAAAAGGGATCCTGAGGTTCACAGGATCAGTATGTCCACAGATCTTGGACCTGTTCCTCGTACAGCCCTTTCTGCTCCCCTTGTACCTGCTGAGCATCCATCCAGGAAACCCAGGCACTGCTGTGGAGGGGGAGGCAGGACTGGCAGTGCCTCTCCTGCCTTTAATGCCTTTTGATCTTCTTCCTCTCTTGGATCAAACCTGTGAGTCAGAAGGTGCATTGCTGGAGCCTTGACCACTGCAAGCTCAGGCTTAGAGGGGAGTGATATCTGAGTGGAGTTGCATTAAAAGTAGGTTTTAAAAAGGATCCATGTATCTTTTAAGCGAGGGCTAAGTGCCGGGGCTCAGTTAGGAGCTGTCCCTGCCTGCAGGAGCTCGAGCAGTGTGTCCCTGACAGGACTGTGCTCTGTGGGCAGCAGCTTTAGCAGCCAGCATGAAATTCAATAAATGTGTCGCTCCTTCTGGAGAACTTCTGAAGCTGAAACAGGAACACAAAGCTGTTTATCCACAGCAGCCAACACAGGCCTCAGTGGACTGGGAAAATATGCACCTGACCTTTGATGAGACTGTTGTGTCCTCCACAGAGAGCGTGTGGTGAGAACACCTGGATGGCACAGGAGTCAAGGAAATGGCACGGGAGCCAAGGAAAAGGCACAGAGGACAGTTCCAGGCCACAGGCACGAGTGCCACGTGCTTGGGGACTACTCAGAGATGGTCAGGCACTGCCTGTCAAATATCCAAGAGCAGGAGGGAGGCAAGAGCTGTGTCCACCACAGCTGCACCATTCAGCATTAGAACCCCTTGCCCCTGTCAGCCAGGGCTGGGCTCTGTCTGGATCAGGGAATGGTTGGGTTGGAAGAGACCTTAAAGATCATCTAATCCCACCCCTACCATGGGCAGGGACATCTTCCACTATCCCAGATTGCTCCAAAGCCCATCCAACCTGGCCTTGGACGCTTCCAGAGGTGGAGCAACCACATCAAAATTTTATGAGTTTAAGGGATTTAGAGGCAATGCACAGAAACAGTCAAGTGTGCATCTCCAGCAGCTCCTCAGCTCCTTTGTGCCTCTGCAGATGAGATCCCAGTGGTGCAAGCAGAGGTTTGGTTGTGTCCCCTCGCTGGCAGTGAGAACACAGCAATAATGACCAAAGGAATAAACCTGCTTTCTGACTCTTGTTTTTCTTCTGTCTTCATGTCTTGCTGGGATTTTCTATTATCACTGAGCCAGGAACAGATTCATATGCTGGGAGCATGATTAGTTTCCATCTTGCACCTTGCAGTGGTCTCAAAACAAATGGTTTCTCAATGTTCTTGAAAGCAACAAAAAAATTAAGCTTGGAGCAAAATGTCCTGGAGGCTTTCTCCAGAAAAACCATGCTGAGGTTTCACTGGGACCATCTCAGAGGAAAGCAATAAGATTCCACACCTTGCCTTTATCCAGAGCATGAGCCTGCTGTTCATGTTTGGGGTTATACCAATGGACCACAGTTTTTGGTGTGTTCATCAATTTTGATTGTTTTGTTCCCTTAGCAAAGTTAATTTAAACATTTAATTAACATTAAAAATTGAATTTAGGTTGACTGCTGTGATGGGGGAAGGACATATCATGTTCTAAAGCTTATAGGCCTGTTAAGCTCATTAAGTTGCAAGGTTTGAGAGGCTCATCAGCATTTTTTTTATTGTTCCATACGTTTTTTGTGGGAAAACCAGAGGAAAGCAGTAACAAGGTTCAATACACTGTTCCTTTAACAAAGAAGCAGGAGGGAAGAGGTGATGCCATGGGCTTTGCAGGCAAGTGGAAGATATCGCTGCTAATTTATTCTCCTAAAATGCAAATTTTATGGATGCTGGGAGTTTTTATTATGGTTCTTAATGATTCCCATGACCTGTGATACCTGCCAGTGAACCTTAGCTGGGAGCAAAGCCTCCACCTGGGTGCCCTGCAGACAGAGGAGAAGCCAGAAATGTCAATTGCCACTTGTTCTGTTAAACCTGATTTCCTCCAAACCTGAAGTGAGAATATATAGAATGTATCTGAATCTCCACATACACTTTCTGCATGCAAATCACAGTGGTGGTGTGTTAAATTGCAGTCTGAAGAGCCAGAAAAAATAAACAGAAAGAAGGGAGAAGCAAATATGAGGGATTGAATCTTCAGGTAAAACCTCTTCTGTGTGTCTGAGGGGTGGGCAAACCCCTTGAGCCCCGCTCTGGGGCGGTGATGTCTCAATAATTCTTACTTGTTTAAGTGCCATCTGCATCACCAAGGAGGTTTAGGTTGGATATTAGGGAAAATTTCTTCCCAAAAATTATTGTCCAGCCCTGGCACAGCTGCCCAGGACAGTGGGGTAGTCCCCATCCCTGGAGGGATTTAAAAAGCCTATAGATGTGGCACTTGGGGACATGGGTTAGTGGTGGCCTTGGCAGTGCTTGGGACTCAATGGTCTTGGGAGCTCTTCCAACCTAAACTCTTCCACGTTTTTATGGGTTTTTTTCATGTGAAAGCTGTTTGTGGTTGGTCAAAGCCCTTGAAAAGGTGGAATCTTCTCTGTGCACCTCTCATGTCCAAAGCTTGTGAGCCAGAAATGTGGCCCAGTCCTCTTTTTTAGAGGGATGTGATAAAGCTGAGCACAGGAGGTGCTGACCAGGCACAGTGGAGGGTCACCAGGAGGTCAAACAACTCATGATTTAAAAAAACTAAGTTTGTGAGGCACACCAAAGTTTACCTGGAGAGTCTAAGGCTGAACATGGAAATCCTGAACTTTTATCACAAGCCTGTTCTTGTCCCTCTCGTCTTCACAAGCAGAGTTGTGTGAAGGTTAATTTTGTATGAAAATGGAGTTAAAGTAAATGAAGATGCAGTGAAAGCTGACACCAAACTAAGCTTGAGCAGAATCCACCACAAAGTGCTTTTCTTTGCAGCAGAAACACGGACTAATCCTCTTATCCTTGGAGTTGGAGGTCCTGTAGAGTGGGAACGGGAGGCTCGATTCAAACCAGAGGATTTTCTCTCTGAATAAGAGGACACAGACTGAATATGCAAATAGTGAAATGTTCTCCTGACGGGTTTTCTTAAGGGATTGCTGACTGCAGAGTTTAAATGAGGCTAATTTATCCCTATTTCTCTAGCCCTGCTGGTCCTGAAGGATCCTGAAGTACTTCACCAGCAACTACAAGCACGTCCTTTTTAAAAGTCATTGAAGAGTCATTGGATTATGTCAACCACTGACATGATCAGCACCACCCTGGACAGTGGGGAACAAATTGTCAATCACAACCTGGGATCACATCATGAATTTTTCTATAAAAACTGGTAAAGACCCTTACATGGCTTTCTCCAAATCTTACCTGAAGATATTCCAGCTCTCTGCCTCCTGGAATTAGGTGCATCTACATCAGGAGACTGACTCTGTACAGATAAACCACACAACCCCCTAAAATGTCACACAATTAAATTTGTTGCAGTAACAACTTATGCACTCAGACAGCAAACATTTGCTGCATTGGAAATTAACACCATTTATTAATCCTACAGAAGATTTGATTGAATAAACTTAATGTCAACTAAGATATGTCTGCATGTAACAGAAGAAATAAGTGTCCACAGGACTTTAGTTCAAAGAAAAACACTTAAAATTTGGGTGCATTAGAAACCAAGCATGTAAATAAAAAAAAGGGAGGAGAAAAAGAAAAAAAAAATTGTTCTGTGTGGTTCTCTGTATTGTGGCTGCTCTGAGTATAATAAGATTCTTTAAGGAACTTTCTACTTAAAGTGCAGTTTTAGTGTTTCTCCCTCGCTGCCAGGCTTTCCAAGGTCTTAACCTGATCTATTGGAAGTGGTAACAAACTCTCAGAATGTATTTTTGAAATCCTTAGACCTTTGCTCAGGTTTGCTGTGATGATCCAGACGTAACAATAAACCCTCCCGAGAGACATTTAATGGGACACTTTAAATGAAATCACTCGGTGGTTTCGTAATGGCAGCTGAACGTGTGTTCTTGCCATTTGCCCATTTAAGAAGAAGAAAAGGCCAAACAAGGGCCAATTAGTCATAATAAAATCAGCTTTGATGACATTTTCACTCCTGAACTCTGGTATAAAATGGTCATCTAAGAAAGAACGGAAGGGATGTGCGAGGAATTTGGTAATAGGACTGCGTGTACGTACAACACGCTCTCCTGAGTAAAAAATGAGCAGGTAAAGACACTGCTGGTTACTTGGTTTATGGAGAAAATATGCTGGGTTTCTGTGTTTTTCTCTGTATTCACCTAGTTTTGCTTGATTTTGGTTCAAATTTTAATTAATCTCATCTTTTCTTTGGAGTCTATACAGGTTAAACTTTGTTTTCCTTCTTTGGATCTCAATGACATTCGTGTGCTCGGGTTACCCCATTGGCCCTTCCAAGGTAAGTCACATTCCCTGCTTGCTCCAAGATGAGATGCTTCATTTATTTCAAATTGCTATTTTATTTAAGTTAGTTTTGTTTGTTTGAGTGCTTCTTTGTTGCTGGGGCTTTTTTTGTGAAATGAAAGAAGTTCCTTGTATTAAAGCTATTGGTTAATTATCATTACCTAATTTCCCTGGAGTATAACCCAATTTTTGCTTTAGTTATTAATAAAATATGCGAGCCTCTAAAATAATCATTTGAGAGATCCAGTGCATATTTAATGTGGAGTGTGGGGAGCTGAAATATTGTATGGAAGAGAAAAAAACATAAATCTCTTCGTTTCATCTAAATTCCTCATCTGTATCAAATAGGTACAATTAGATATATGTATTAATTTGACTTGTTTATAAACCAGTTAATTTATTTGTCAGTGGGTAGGTAAAGTTGAAATTCTTATATGAAGCTGTGGAGAATTATTGCACAGAATCAGGAGTAAAAAGTTGATTGAACTACGAGAGAAAGTAGAACAGCCTGTAAAGCTGAAGTGAGCAGGTTAGTTGAATAATATTAATATCCTTTCCATGACAAATTGCTGGCCAAGTCACCCAGACACTATCCAAGACTTTCCCAATGTGGAATGAGATATTTTATTTCTAATGATGACCAATTTCCCTCCTCTGGACAAAGCCTTCCTTACATCCCTGTATTTTATTGCTGTAAATCACCTCTAGGAGCCACAGCTCATATTTCTGTGTTTCCTCTGGTGTGTTTTGCATCATTATCTTTTCATTAAGGTGATCTGCTGTTGTCAGAATTTCTGGCTACTGGCTACTATTTTATGGATGTGAAATCCCTGTTATCCCTAAAGTATCCATTGCCTGGCTCCTCTCTCTGTTTTACTTCTGTAAATGCTGAATCATCTTTCATTTCTGATCATGGGTGGTTTGGGCACAGCTTGGTCTGAGCAGCCACTTTTCCTCCTGGATCTCTTTATGGCAGTGATATCATAGGTAAAACTGAGTTTAATTGTTGCAATACATTGAATTTATTTATTTGATTTCAAGATAACAGTCATTTCCTCAGTAAGGGAAGTCTAGGGAGGTAGCAGCTAAAAATTCAAAGGGGAATTTCTCTGTGCCTGGGTTGGTTTTTTTTTTTTTTCATAAAAAAAGTGTTTCTTCTTGTTTTAGGGAGAAAATTCAGTCTGGGAAAACTCCTCATCTGTGACAGAAGGGGCTGGGACTTGCTCTTGGTTGTTAAGAATCATTAAACAAACAAAAAAATATAAAGTACTAAACAATATTAAATAAAAGCAGTAGAATACTGAATTAAAGCTAGTAAGTCTAAATTTTATTCCAGTGAAGGCAGGGGTTAATCCTATGGCTTTGCATGGAACTTTTAGAGATGGAAGAGTATTGTTTTTAGATAGATAATCAACCAGCTGGGAGATCAGGATATGGTGAAAGATGCACACGGCAACTATAGACATGCCAGGAAATGTTTTGCTTTTATAATTCGTTGATAATTCAAATACAATTTAATGTAAGGGCAGTTTAAATCTGGGAAAAGTTTCTATGTAGTTTGCATTTTTATCCTGTAAAGTGCAGGTAGAAGGAATGTGTCCAGAAACCTACATGGATTTTTATGCAGAATTTTTAAAATTCCTATTACTATATTTTCATTATTAAACTTTACTACTACCATAACCACTCATACCTACTGGAAATCTTCCTCTCCCAGATTTCTGCTTTACAGGTATTTTTATTTTCTCTTACCTGTCATTTAAGCTACATAACTTCACACAAGCTACAACAAGATTCTATTTCATTGTTCACTGAAAAAATCTCATTTTACAGCAATAAACACGGATGTCATTCCAGGGAAACTGTGTCACATGTCACAAGTGGTCACCATCACAGAAAACAATTCATATCATACTGTGAATGTAATTGTATCAGTATTTTATACCAGAAATGCAGTGAAGATTTCTGGAAAACGATGAAAAAAAATCTGATTTTCAGTTTGAGAAATCCCTAGCAAATAACAGTTCATCCTTGTCATAAACAATAAATTGTTTTTGTGTTTCTGCTTTGCTTTTCATAGTGAACAAGCCCTGGCAAATACACAAATCCATAATTTTACCTTGTCTTATCTGTCTTTTTTTTTTTTTTTTCCCCTTGTTTGCTTGTTTTTTAATCTCCAGAGCAACAATCCTTTTTATTTGAATTGCCAGCTGCATGGAAAATCTGATTATTGCCTGCTCCTGCTGAACAGCTGCTTAGCCAAGGTGGGCAGGGATGAAGAACTGGCTCTTTTAAAGCCTCACCTGGAGACACCTCTCGACAAAAGGTCCTTTCGCAACGGCGTGGGATCGGGAATTAAAAAAACTTCCTTTCGAAGAGCAAAGTCATGAACAAGTGCCCCCAACCACGGCCCCCCTTTTGACATCTGATGTTCAACTTTGTGCTTAAAGAGTTATTTTGATGCTTTTCTAGGATCAGACCAGCCCGTGTCCTCAGCATGTAACCGGGTGTTTGTTCCCGAGCGCTCGAGCCGAGCGGAGCAGATGGGATTGCTCGGAACGGGCTTTGTTCCCCAAGTTACAGTGTCATAAAGTTTTGTCTTGGAATGAATGTTTTCAGTTGTTTAATTCCCCTTCTTTGTAAAGCTACAGATTTAATCAAGTTGCTTTTGATTAATACCAAGATAATCCTATGCTATGAGTAGATGTGTGTTCGCAGCCTGTGGGGAGGACGGAGAATATTATTCCCAAAATCCCTCCTCTCTGCCATAGAGACAAACACGAGGCAATCCTCTGCTTTCCTGTCCCAAATCACATTTACTTGAAGGCAACTGCTCTGGCAACTTTAATACACATTTAAAGTACATTTTATTTCAGATTTCCAAAGATATGAAGGGCCACTGATGAAAGGCAGAATCAGGCCCTACTTGTAACTTCCACTGGCTTTTTAATATAGTTATTTAAAATTACTTTAGCAGAGAATAATCTCTGGAGACGTGTCAGCTCATTTCCAGAAGAGTCCTGGGAAATCACTGTAAGGCAGGGTATCAGCACTGCTCCCTGTGCCTCAGTTAATTGACTTCAGTAGGCAACACACAGCTGAGGAAATGTGCCAAATGTGGGATTTTTTTAAAATTTCCTGTTAAAAAAAAGAAAAAAAAAAGAAAAAGGTAATTTTGTCTGAAAATAGGTAAATGCAGGATGTAAGAAAGGTCATCTGCTGAGTTACACGTGTGAGTTCTACCTTGTGGCTGTTTCCTCCAAGTGCTGTGATGCTGGCTTGAAACGTGGCAGAGTGTCCATGCAATTCCTTTTGCATTCAAAGCTAAGATACTACTAATAAATCAATAGATGGATGTTTTCTAATATTCCCCTGTTAAAGATCATAACCCAGGAGATCATTATTAACCCTACAAAAAGGTGGTATGGCATCATCACCTCCATGGTGCCCAATCCTGCGTTTTGCACCTCTGAGCCCGTGGGGAAAAGTGACCTGATCATGGAGCTCTTTTGGTGGGATATCAGATTTCTGGATGATTCCTGGCTGATTCAGGGAGATCAAACACGCTCCTGTCTGTGTTTGTCCAAGTTGAAAAGTTTAATGCTTCATATTTTTTAGAGCTGCTTAGACACTTGGGCTCCTTTGGGACAGTGCTGGTCTCTAGGTTTCTTAGCTCTTGCATCTCTTTGTTGAGTGTCTCCTAGAGAATATTAAAAATTTATAAGGAAAATATCAGATATTTGTTATTCTCATGAATTCTGTCTCCTGTACTGTCAGATGAGCAGGGCAAGAGCAGTGACACAGGAATTCCACTGCAGCAGGACATTGGTCCTGTTCCGCTCTTGGCTGCTGTGATTTTGGCCACAGCAGTCTCTTGCAAATACAATTGTCCAACTCCAGCAGCATCCAGGTCTCTCCAGAACTGCCCAAAAAGCTGTGGCTGCCTCATCCCTGGAAGAGTCCAGGGCCATGTTGGATGGGGCTTGGAGCAACCTGGGCTAGTGGAAGGTGTCCCTGCCCAGGGCAGGGCATGGAACGGGGTGACCTTTAAGATCTATTCCAACTCAAAGCATTCTGGGATCCTGTGATTCCATGATTCCATGGTTCTGTTCTGTATCTGTGCACAGCTGTGGGGATGGAGATGTTTTGCCACAGTGCAGCTTCCTGGTGTGATTCTGTCCTGCTCCTTGCAGCTCATATCCCACCCAACTTAATTTTCAGGAAATAAAAAAAACTGGAACAAATTCAGATTTACGTTTTTCTTGGGCTTTCACATCCGTTTTTGTTAACGTTTTTCTACATAATCAAATACATTCCTGCCTTGGTAACCTGGGATGAGCAAGGTTGTCTGGAAGTCAGCAGAGCTCTACGGGGAGCTTGGAAAATCAGCCTCTTCCCTTTCACTTATTGTGCAGGATGAAGGTAACTCGTTTAGTGTTTGACATTTGCCTTGGAGCAGGGAAGGGATGCAGAGCCAGGATCCTGCTCGCACAGACCTTCATCCCCTTTTATTGAAAGGACGGGCTGCAAGAAAAAACAGCTTCTTGGCTGCAGGAAAAAGCTCATTATTTATGATTTAGCCATTCCCTGACAAGCCACTCCACCTTGAGGGATCTGCATAGACAAAAAGATCGTAGGAGGAGGCCACCAAGAGCCATAAGTCTTGTACTCACCTAAATCACACTGAGCAAGCCTGGAAAATGCAGATTATGCAGCTGACTTGCAGGAGTGGTTCTGTCACTGCTGGGCTGATCTTGCCATCACCACCCACTGAAAACTCAGGGCTGCCACTGATGAAATGCTGAACTCTTCCCTGAACTTTAAAGGTGGTTTTATTTTGGAAAGAACAGAGAGTAACATCAGTGATCTCTGTCAGAAAATAAGGATCTAAGGGTGCTATTGCTGAGCACATTAATTTTTATGCTGACAGAAACTGGAAATATGGCATAAGATGTCTCTTTTTTCAGTAAAAAGAGGACATAGGGCTGGCTATAGGGATGCCAACCTACGGCATAATTAATGTGCCGCCAGGAATTATATTCCTTTCTGGAGAACAAGGATTCATTACACTGTGAAAAGATATTTTGTTGACTTTCTTTACTATTTTTCTTGGTTAACCTAAAAGGAGAGAAAATAAGAGAAATAGAGGGTGGGAAGAATAATGCTTTGTCTAGGGATTGAGGAGCAAATTGGGAGGTTGGGAATGGCCTGGCCAGTCTTGGCCTTTGATAGTAATTCAGTCTGTGACCTCAGACAAATAATTTATACTGAATTTCTGCTACTGAAAAATAAGAAACTGTCTCCATCAAGCCATCTTGAGTAAGCAGTGTCATGACTGACGGATTTGGGAAGGGCTTTGGAGATGTTGGGGCAGAGAAGGGTGGTTTCCACAGCTGGAGGGGCTGGGAGAGAGGTGTGAGCTCTGCTTCGCCATCAGTGTCACCTTCAGCCTCCCCTTCAGCATGGGACCAAGCATCCTCTGCCCATGTCCATTTTCTAACCCCCAGGGAGCCCTATGGATCCCACATCCAAGCCAATTCCCAGGTTCATGGCCTGTTTTCAGCAGCACTGTCCATTACTCCAGCTCCAGCCAAGTAAATGGTGCTGGAATGAGATGCTCATTCCCCACCGAGGCTGAGAGAGAGGCATCCTCTACCCCTGCACCTTCAAAGGGCAGCTGCTGCAGTTTGTTCAATCTTGAGCAAGTAACCCATGTATCTTCTTAATTTTTGACTGTGCATCCTTTGGTAAAACAGATTAAAATGCATTTAAAGGACATCCAGAATCCATAAGGATTTTTTTTACCTTACTTTGCTCTAACTTGTATCCACCTTTGGAGGCTTTGGACATAAATTTCCACTAATGATTGCCTGTCTATGGGCTATGGGAGCCATCACTGAGCTCAGCAATCACTACTTTGAGCAGCCCCTCTGTCCTGAGCCCTGGGGTTGGGATGAAGCTGCCCCGTGGCTGTGGGAGCTGCATCCCCATCCCATCTCCACACCTGGAATTGCTCCTTGCAAAGAGCTGGATGTGTTATTGCCTGTTTCCTGCTGCTTCTCTGCTCCCTAAAAATGATGGGTGACTCTGAAGGAGGCAGCTGAGATTCCCAGTAGGTGAAACTCAGAAGAACAAATCCAATAAAACGTGAACGAGCAAAATCTGCCCGAAGACAAGAAGAGGAATTAACATTTTTTTTTCTTCTTCACAGATTATTGACAAGAAAGGCAATTAAATAGCCTGATGTAATAGCATCTAATTAACTTGCAAGACTGAAAATTCCTTGTTGTAATGACATACCAATACTTGGTTTTCTGATTACCAAGCACATATTGAAGTATATATATCACACTGAGATTTCCTAATTTGCTATTATTTGCCTGTAAATGGTAATTTATTACCTTAAAATACTGAAAATGAGAAAGGAAGAAGTCTCTTGCTGCTTTTAGCTCTGGATATAATTTTGACCTTAAGAAAGAACAAGACAGATATGAGAGAGTATATTAGATGTTATTATTACCCTAATAAAACAGAGATAAAAATCATAGTGCAGAAAGACTCTGAGACAACTATTAACCATTTGTCATAGAAAGAAAATCAAAATTTAACTTATCAGATAGTCTGGCACTTTAAAGATTCATCATGAAAAATTACTTCTAACAGTGAAGCATTTATGCAATATGTCATTGATGAGCTGTCTGCTTAAATGTTTAAAGAGTTTGGGAAAAGATAGAAAAAATGTCAAAGATACGCTTTTTATTAGTCTGGCAGAGAGCTTCACTGTATTTAAATTTATTTTTAAGAGTGAAACACTGTGGCATTACATTTTTCTTTACGAAAACAAGCTGAGCTCATTGTTCTACCCCAACGTGAGATGGTTGGTGGGCACAACCAAAGTGAGGATGGAGCTTTTTCCCTGAAAAAATGACACAGCTGTACATCAGACATCACCCCAGAGCCCGGGGAAATTTTGCTGCCTTTGTGCCAATAGAAAGACTTTTTCTCCTAATCCCCTCCTGGATTCGAAGTCACTGGGTTGATTATGCTGGAAATGAAGCATATCTTAACAGCTTGATCAGCTGAGACCCATCTCCTCGAATCCTTCGGTGTGGACCTTTCAGGAGACATAAAAGGGCTCAGTGTGAGCAGAAATGAGCTGTCAAGTGCTGCTCTCGAGGTATCACCCACAACTCATTGGGGGCAGCCGAGAGAGGCTGAGCTCCTCGACGGGCTTTGGCTCAGACGTTCAGGGGGAGGGAATGTTTTGTGTTCGCTCCTCACGGCCGGTCCAAGGAGCCCAGAGAATCTCTATGGCAACCCTTGAGCACCTCACAGCACCTCTGTGCTCTAACAGATTCCTCTGCCCACAAAACATCCTCACTGATCCCTGTGGTTTGTGCCCACTGTCTGCTCTAACCCACCAGCTCTTGATTCAGGCACCAGAGCTCAGCTGGCACTTCCAAACCACAGCCAAATGTGGAGCTGGAGCTCCATGAGGAGCCCAGGCCACTGTGGTTGGCTCTGTGTCTTCATTAGCATCTTAATTAGCAACATGACACTTGGATGAACCGAGGGAACTGGGGAAATTTATTGTTAAACACCAAGATGTAAATACAGGAGTCAGCATTCCAGAGTCATTCCAGTCCCCCTCCACACTGCTGTTTAACTAAAAACTACACTAGCAAGGAGATGGTGGATATGCATTTGCAGAGGTTGCTTTTTTCCCCCCTTTATTTTCAAGTAAAAATCATGAATTAAATGAAAAGAATAAATGGATCTCAACTCATAGAGGGAGATTATATACAAATAAAATGACCACTGGGGGGGGGGGAATAATTTCCATTTAGTGGTATTTGCTCTTTTTCACTGACTATTTCATAGATAATCCTCCACAGTACTGTTTTAGAATACTTTTATAGTAAATGAAGACCCAGGGTCATGATATATTTTGGTAGGAGCCATCTCCTTTGGTAGGAAGCATCTCCTTTCAGGTGATAACTTTAGTTGTCTTAATTTTGAACTGTCACACTGATTATATTAATGATTTTTTTTTTGTGTGTGGCAACTGAATAGCAGTTGGGGTGACCTTCCCCACTCTCAGAAAATGTGAGAGATGCCACATGTTCCTGGTTTGAAGGCATAAGGGCTTCTGCTACACTCCTACATAGTTTGGATTAAAGAATCTGGCTTCTTGGAGAGGCCGACCTTTGGGTTCCCATGTTGTGGCAAGGGATGTGTTTGACTCTGCCGGTCTTTCTGCTTTGTAGTTTTAGTCAGGTCTTCAAATTATTCCTTCCTGTTGAGAATGTGGATCTCATTATCTTCCTGGATGATGGGAGCAGCACAGTCACGAGCATATTTTTTGCTCCTCAGCGATGCCTGGCAAAGTACACCCTGTGAAATGCCACTTGGTTTCATGTTTCTCAGTTTTTAATTCATTTTCATGTGGCAAAATTTGGCAGAAATAATTGTTGCAAGAGACACCATGGCATGTCAGGAAGGATGGTAAGCCATCCATCTAATTAGGCAGCAATTGGTGCTGGCTGGAGTGGCCATAATGTGAGGAAGCCATGTGGAAGTCAAGGGGAGAAGCTGTTTGACTGCTCATTATTGACTCTGTGTCATGTTTGGCATCAGAAATCATGCAGAAAGGGGGTTAACCCTGAGTGCTGGAATCGAGCTGCTCTCATATGTCTGCCCTCAAGATGTGCAAGACAATCGAAAATCCTTTATTTCTGTATCTGTCAACAAAATAGCTCAATTGCAAGAAAGAAAACTTAATACAGTATTTATATTGTCTTGTAAAGACTCAGAGAATGGTTTGGGTTGGAAGGGATTCATCCCACCCCCTGCCATGGGCAGGGACACCTTCCACTAGACCAGGTTGCTCCGAGCCCCGTCCAACCCGGCCTTGGACACTTCCAGGGATGGAAGCTTCTCTGGGCAACCTGTGCCAGGGCCTCACCACCGCCATGTCAATTTAATAATAAAATTTTATAATTACAGCCACTTGAGGCAATGTAGGAAAGATGGCTGGAGGAGCTTATGGAGTGATTTAAGGCCAAATTCTGATTGCTGGACTTCATGAATTATGCCAACTGATGCATGGAGATCCTGTTGATTACTTTACACAGCCTTAAAAGAAAGAAGACAAATGACCCATG